AGAATTTCCTCCTTTTTAAAGGCTGAAAAATATTTCATTGTATGTATATATTGCTTTTTTTTATCCATTTATCTGTCAGTGCTCAATGAGGTTGTTTCCACATCTTGGCTACTGTGAATAGAGCTGCAATGAACATGGGGGTCCAGCTATCTTTTCAAGATCCTGAAAGATTTAAATTCTTTTGGATATACACCCAGAAGTGGCATTGCTGGATTATAAGGTAGTTCTGCTTTTAATTTTTTGAGAAACCTCCAGACTGTTTTCTATAGTGGCTGCATCATTTTGCATTTTCACCAGTAGTGTGCAAGGATTCCAATTTCTCCACCTCCTTGCCAACAGTTGTAGTCTTCATATATATATATGTGTGTGTGTGTATATATATACATATATATATACACACATACATCTATGTATTTACATTATATGTATAAAATAATAGCCATCTGTCTCAGTCTGTTTTCTGTTGCTATACCACAAACTAGGTAATTTATAATAGGAAAAGAAATTTATTTCTTACGGGTCTGGAGTTTGGGAAGTCCAAGGTTGCTATTGGAATTTTCTTGGTATGTTACACCATAGCAGAAGGCATCATATGGTAAGAGGGGTGCATGAGAAAGACCTAATCACCTCTTACAGGTTTCACCTAGTCCTATCTCTTAATACTGTCACAATGGCATTAAATTCTAGCATGAGTTTTGGAAGGAACACTCAAATCACAGCACCATTCTAGCTGGCGTGAAGTGATACCTCATTGTGGTTTCAATTTGCATTTCCCTTATGACTAGCGATGTTGAACATTTTTTGATATACTGTTGGCCTCTTGTATGTCTTCTTTGGAGAAATGCCTATTCATGCCCTTAGCCTGTATTTTTAATGGGGATATTCTTTTTTTGCTATTTGAGTGCAGGAGTTTCTTATATAGTTTAGACATAACCCCTTATCAGATATATGGTTTGAAAATCATCCTCCCATTTTGCAAGTTGCCTTTTCACTCTGTTGATTGTTTCCCTTGCTGTGTAGAAGCTTTTTAGTGTACTGTAATCCCACTTGTTTATTATTGTTTCTATTGCTTGTGCTTTTGGAGTCATATCCATGAAAGTCATTGCCAAGACCAATGTTGTGAAACTTTTCCTCTGTGTTTTCTTTGAGGATTTTTATAGTTTCAGGTCCTACATTTAAGTCTTTAGTCTATTTCTGGTTTATTTTTGTGTATGGTGTAACAGAGGGTCCCATTTTATTCTGTTGCATGTGGTTATCCAGTTTTCCCAACA